AGGCAAGTGCCTCAAGGGACTGCGGGGTGGGTAATTGTTTTAGCTGAGGCTGGGAAAGAAGCAGAAAAGGGGCAAAGCTCAGACTTCCAAAGAGCCGAAGAGTAAGGCAAAGGCAAAGGCCGTGTCGCGGCAGTAGAGACTGAATTTTCCAAAGCTCTACCTAGCGACCTAGCGGCTTGAATCTTGAATTTTGATTCGAGCCTCGCCTTCCAGGCTGGGGAAAGCATGGGGGGATAGAGAGGCTCAAATGAACATGAGACCAGCAAAGACGCAACTCAGCAGTCAGCTCGCAGCTTCGAAAAAAAGAGTATTTATGTATGCGGCATGCGGTTTTTGCGAGGGAACTCAGCGTGCTGTGAGTGCATCTTATCAGATTCTTAGAATCCCAAAGACATATTCCAGGATCATTTCAAGATTATTTTGAGAATAGTCCAGGACTATCTTAGGAATAGTCCAGGATAGTTTAGGAATAGTCCAGGATAGTTTTGGAATAGTCCAGGAATAGGTCTAGGAATAGTCCAGGATAGTCCCAGGCCTCAACAGATAAAGAGGCCTAGGCAGACACCAATATATAGAATAAGACTACAATATCCTATTCGCTACAAAATCTTCAGGACAAATTGTCATTCCTTGGAGTCCGCTTTTGAGCCCTTGAGGCTGCAAGGTGTGGTTTTGTCAAGACCCACTTTAGACCAATTTCATGTTTGATTGTGTAGAATTACATATCTTCCTCAGAGGCCGCGCGGTCTGACTCTGTCGAATTCAGATTGTGTGCGACAAAATCAGACACCCCAGTGTTCTCCTGAACTCACACCGCGATTGTCATTTCATATGAGGACTCAGGACTCTTCAAACGCGGGCATTTCATCTCATTATAATAGTTACATATAGTCATATAGTTACATTTTGTACGACTCGGGTGCTTTGGTGCAAGGTCACAATACCCCTTTGCCAAGATACTATTCACCTCAAGTAAGACGACGTGAGTCCTCACGATTTCCGGCACTCAAGCTTTGCGACAGCTGAGGTTCATAGCCGATGGGGACATCAAGAACTCCATGCGAAAGCTTTGTGAGCCTCATCAGATCGAAGAGCAATATGGGGGCACCGCTCCCAATGCCACTTGTGACCAAACAGCGGAGAATTGGCCTCGAAGTCGAAGCACCGATGGCAAACAGCGGCAATACGATGCAATATGTATGCAAACATTCACGAGATCTCACAAGCAGTTTCTTTGGTTTTCTTGCCGAAGCTGACCAAAGTTTCTTTGGCTCGCTTGCTTTCGTCCGTGCACTTCTTGCAAGAAGGTCTGCCGCGGAATTCACAGATCTGAAGAAACCGAGGTGAAAGCAGGCGAAGTCTATCCCTTTCGATTCTTCCCACATTGCCGCGGTCCCAACAGTGGTGGGAACCCTCCCCAGACCTCACTTCACCAAGTGGCAGATCGTTTGTTTCACGAGGGCGTTTCATTGGATCGCCACGACCAGGAGACCGTTGCTCCAAAACGAGACGTGCTCAGCTGTGTTGGTGGATTCTAAACGAGATCAACAGTCATACAGTCAGAAGTGACAGGATGATGATGGATTGGTCGTTTGATCGTTATGATCGTTTGCATAGATCTATTTAACATTAATTAATTAACTCTCACGCACTTAGCCATGAAAGTGCTTGATCATACTGAATCTTACTGCTATTGGCAATTGAATTAATGTCGATTCGAGCGGTGCATCAGGACCTTTGGAAAGGAATCATCACCCACCAGCCCGTGACGAAGGGCACCGCCAAAGCCCTAGCAGATCTCCTCCATGCGGAGGTCAAGCCCACAACATCTTTGGAAGCATGGCGCAAGGTTGACATTGAGGGGTGGGGTGGAAGCAAGTGGGGTGCTTTGAGGAGTACAGACTTAGTAATATCATGGGAGCGTTTGTATATTCTGCAATACTGTGATGTCACAATGGCATGTGCTTCTCCTTTGACTGTTAACACTAAAAAACATCCGAAGATGCCCAAAGGAGGTGAAACCAAGGAGATGCGACGCACACACACAAAAAAAACAAAAAGATCACAAGCGTGCCTTTTTTCCAGATCGGGCACAATAGAACTAGAAAGAATCCCACCATTCAAGACTCAAGACATGCTCGGAACTGCCAGCAAGCTTCCGAGGATGATTGGCTCAAAAAGTTTGGCACGCCTGATGCCAACAAGCTTCTCGAAGATCAAAAGGGCAAAGAGCAGAAGGCAGATGATCCAAAGGCGGAGAAAGTGGAGGCGGTGGGCACAGATCTGTCAATGAAGTGCTCAAGCCAGTCATTGTTTTGTGAGGCATGAAACTCCTAGCTGTTGCCAATAAGATTCCTGGGATGCCAACGTCAGTAGGCTTTTTTTCAGGCCTTTAGATTTAATGTTTTAATCCCTAAAAGTAACGCAACATGTTTTGGAGTAAAGATTTGTATGTTTTACTGGTTGGTTCGGGAAGAACTTGCAACACTGCTGGGACAACAATAATGAGCAACCCCTTTCTAATGGAAAGGACCCCCCAACGTGCCCTTTTTTTGCAAATGACTTGTTCGTGGGAGTATGTGTATAAAACTTGACACACTAGTTCATGTGGCTGAGTGGGAACATGGTCCATATTCAATGATGGTCTTGTGTGCAGCAACAACAACAACCCTTGTGATGTCTGTCCACAGCATGTCCTGCAGCAACAGGCTGTACCTGTCCTTCCTGACGACATCTTCAATCAAGAAGAAGTGGTAGACGCGACCTTGCAGCTCCAGAATAGCAATAATATTATGACAGAGAGCCTGGGTTTTGCACAAGATTTCTCAGTTGTTTGGTCTATGCCAGTCTATGCTTGCAAGTAAATAAGTACAGTATATAAAGCCACGAGGATAGGTGCAAGTTTGGGCGGATAGCATGTCATTGATGGCAGTCCCTGGACTGTGGATGTCAGTCTGCAGTGGAGCAATCTGCTGCATTTTCTGCCTCACACTTATTGCCATTTGGCTGTGAGTCAGAACCTACCCCACCAAACCATGGTAGGTTGACATCCCTTATAGTTAGAGTAGAGGAATCTCTTCTTTTCTTTCGCGCATGCCCTAGACATGCATCCACACATTCGTCTCGTCCTGTTCCTTGCGCTCTCGGTTCAGTGAGCTCGAAATAGGGACCCCATGAGGAACACATGCAAAATCATCAAAACCTTAGATCTCGGAAAGATGAACACTCCAGGAGTGTTTTTTCAGCGTGCTGGGCCACCGGGCAAGTCTAGCAAACCTGCATAATGGGACAGCGCCTTGAATGACCCCATGTGGGAGGCACTTTCCAAGGGCTTGTCATTGTTTGCAACTAGCATGTTTGTGCCTGGAAGGAGGCAGGATTCTGTATGCTTGAACATGTTTCTGGAAGCCTTATGCACGACCTTGACCAGGTCGGCGATCGTGTTGTGACAGAAAACCATGCAATGATGCTTTACTCTAGACTCCAGACACACATGTGTATGCACGCTATATCTCAACTTAGATTCTAGAGAACAATGACAATAACGTTGTCTCTACATATAGTATTTGGGAATCATTTTCATTTTTCAGTCCCATATGTGTTCTTGAATCGACAATTGCGTGATGTAAAGTTTAAACACATATATGATACGTTACTGGAGTGCAACGGAAACACTACGCGAGTACAACCTAGTGCAAGGCATTCACAATATTAGTCATTTCGGTATCTCTTTGCTTCCCTTCAACCTTTTTTGTATATTAAATACAATATATATATATATATCACGAAAGCTAGCGAAGCTAGCTGGAGTTACTCTTGCGATAGCAAGGTTTCTTTCGACCCCCACCTCCCCTCTCCCCACCTCCCCCCCTCTCCTCCTCCTTGTCTTCCTCCCATCTTCCCTCCCTCCCTCCTCCCTCTTCGCAAGTTCGACTCCGTCCTGTCGTCGCTCTTTGGCATGCGGTTAGCGTTGCGTATCTTGCGGCCGCACTCGCTCACTCTCACTCTCACTCTCTCACTGTCTCACTGTCTCTCTCATCTCTCTCATCTCTCTCATCTCTTTCTCATCTCTCTCTCCTCTCTCTCTCTCTCTCTCCTCTCTGTCTCTCGTCTTTCCGTCTCTCTTCTCTCTCTTCTCTCGCAGGAGGGTCCGGGCAAAGAGCCACATATAAAGGACTCTTCACCCCTGCCTCCAAAAAGAGCGCCGTGTTTTTTCCTACCTCGCTCGCTGCCCTCCACTTTCCCATTCTGGAGCGCTAGCTTTCGCCCCCCCCTTGGCCTCAAGTATACACACACATCATACATCATTTTACATCAATTGATCTATTGTTTCGTAGATCACACAGACAGTTCTTTCACTCTCGAGGTTTGAAGACGTATAGAACACGTTTCACCGATCGAACACGTTTCAGTCATTAATTATCATATTGTATCGTCGAATTTGATTGCAAGCCTTTGCTGGACACGGTTGTTGTGGTCGAGCAAGTGGTTAGACAACTGTGCTATGTGCAAGGCCATTTCTTCAAATTTCGGTATAAGGATGGGGGTTCTCTCTTGATATCGCAGATCTGAGGAAGAAGCCCCCAGGTCCGTTGATGGAGGGTGAATCTTCTGCGGTTTGCTGTGTATGCGGCACGCCCTAAGCGACCCACTTTCTGAAGGTCATCAAGTTGGATAGACTGCTTAGTTGAAGCGTTTTTGCAATGCAGTGGCCAAGCCAACCTGCAATGCTCCTCACATTCTGGGCAAAAATGGTCGTGTTGTTTTGAGTAGATTTGGTTGCGTCCTTGTCGCCTTGGCTTTTCAGCCTTTCATAGCCCATTGCAACAGCTGCAGCACATGAGGCCAAGGAAAGGACATGCTGGTTGGTTGGTCGGTTGAGGCATTTGTAGAGGCATCCTTGGTGTAGCTGCATAGGGCTCCTGTCAGGGAGACGGGTCTTCTACTTTGCACGATCACCCTTGCAATCCCCAGCGGCCGAGCGGTGCACACTCGGACAGGAGCGTGTGAACGACATGGAAAGGACTGCATCGCATTGTCTGGGGGATGGAAGACGCTTTCGGACGCCGTATGAGATCCACTTCCGCCGCCTGGATTTGGGGGTAGCGGTAATTGGCTGCGTAGTAGCTTAGTAGCAAGGAAGCTACTAGGAGCAAAGTGCATCGCTACTAGAAGCAAGGGTGCTGCTAGCGGCTCCTGGCCTTACTACTAGGAGCAATAAAGCTATTTCTTTTTAAAGGCCGGTCCCCTGAAGCCCTGAACATGGTGATGTACTGGAAACGGTTTGCTCTCGACCAAGCAAAACGAGAGCGAACGAGAGCACGCCACGACGTGCTCAGTGGCTACCAGGAACATCACTTCCATGAAATCCGATGTCCAAAACATGGTGCTCGCCATGAACAAGTGCCTCTGAGAAAACATGCGCCATGCGGCGCCATGCATAGCGGAAAAGGGGAGATCTTGGAAAAGGGGGAGATCCAGTGGTGTTCCACACCATGACGGTCCAGGTATAGTATATACTAATTTGTACCCGACACGCCTTCCAACATGTCCTGTTCTTCTCGCTGTCCCTGCAGTAGCTTCTTTTGACATTTGGAATGTATCTCAATGGAACGGCAAATCCTCCACTGGGTTCCTACATTGCTTGCACCATGCAGTAGCTGAAGCTTATATAGATGATTCAGGTTGATTGAAGACCACATACTGTGGTCACTGACATGCCTTTTGCCTGGAGCCCGCCCGCGAATGCCTGTCAAACTCACCGAGTGAATTACTCTCAGGTTGAGCAACATGAGCTTCGGCCCCACCAACCACAAGCACATCAAGAGGGTGCGGCGACGATGTTTTGCCCTGGGATGGAAACGCCCCATCATGGCCAATCACTTGAATCGACAGATCATTCCGATGAATGATCCAATGACCTCGTTTTCGGACGGACCGGGCATTTGTGCCACTTCAACGGAGCCGGATGGTTGCTGCCTTTCACGCAGAGGTATTATGATTGATATCCAGCAAGTATATTCAAGATCATATATTAAGCAGTACCATACACCTGATGAGGATAAAGTCGACTTAGATCTTTGCTTAGGATTACGTAACAGGTTTCAACATCTTTCGGAGCGTGTGGCTCATTGCAGCTTTTTGTTAAGCCTTTATACCCTACCAACATATCTTCATCTTGGGTAATGAAGGACAATCGTCTTGACAAACCTGATGCTCGCCTCTTTGGTTTCGGATGTTGCAGGGGAAGACTCTACTTCTAAATAGATCTTAAGATCATAATTTGTTAGCTTTATTTCTTGATCTACGTAGATTGGACAAAAAAATATGTAAACATAATCAATGCGCTGGATGGATGAGATTTCCACCACTTGGATCGGCGACCAACGTCCGGAGGGGGTTCTTGTCGCAAGTGATTGCGCTGGCAGGCAGTGGCACTCTGCGTTGGCCCTGCGGGCACACGCGCTGCTACCGCTGGACACATCAGATGAGGTCCGGCTGGGAAGTCCTGTGAGAGTCTTTTTCGGTTGCACGTCGTCCAAGCAGTCCTTCCGTTTGCAAGATTGGTGTCACATCACTGCTTGCAAGATTCCTGATTTGTTGAGGAAGCATCAAGCTTTTGCAGATGGAGTGATAGAATGTGATACTGTAACTAGGGTTGCGTCTTGGGCACGATCAACTTGTGAAGCAATCCAACAGCTTCAGAGGCCTTGAAGCATGAGAGTGTGCAGCTGGGAGAAATAGAATCGGCAAAACTGAAGATGAGTTAGAACATGATTTGGTCGAAGAAGACAGAACCCATAAAATCATATAAGAACAACATCATGAAGAAGATGAGCATGATTTGTGAAGATAACAGCTCAACTGATTGCATGGATTTCTCTCCATCTGAACAGCTCAGAATCTCACATGTCAGAGTGGCATCATTAACTATATAATTATATTGTTTGTGTCAGCAAACGGACAGCCTCAGAGCCCAGGTGTTTGATTTAAAGCACATTGGAGAAGGAATATTCAATCCAGCAAATGCCAGATAATATTGACCAGCATACTGTACAGCATACCTGCTCAGATACCACATTTTGACAACTTGGTAGCCAATTGAGTTGTACAGTGTATGTTGTTTGAATCGGTTGCAACACCCCTGGGATGGGTTGTTCACTCACAAGAGTGGCAACATAGGTTGAGGTTGAGGTATTTCTGGATCGAGCAATCTCACGACTCTTTATTTCATTCATTGATCCACCCGTTTCGTTGGCTTGGTGATTGTAGCCACTACACTCCTAGCTGGCCAGAGGAAGCGCTAGTGACCTTCATCGTCGGAGAACGTAGTGATGAGTAGTGTTTGCAGTTTGGAGCAGAGGTCCCAGGTCAAGGTGCGTCGAGCTTGCCTTTGAACTTTGAACCACCTGTTCAGCCTACACATTTCCTACATCCAGTTACTGCAAGCCAAACCACAGGCAGTGGCAGACTTGTGATTCAGTGAATGACTCTGGGACCCACGCAGAACTTGTTTTCGCATAGCGGCGAAATAAGGAAATGGCCGCTGTCCAAGACAGAAAACACGGCCAAATGTAGATACCCGCAATGCTGTTGCATTGATACCTGTCATGAGCAGCCCTGCAGTAGTGCATGCGGGTGCGCACATTTGTCACTCTGAGGTTGATCAGTGGCCCTTGTGGTCTCTTACAGAGAAATACGCAACATACAGAATCAGACTATATATAGACTAGCTACTGTAAATTCTCCCTCATGCTGAATTCACAGGCCCGGGTGAACCAGAAGTAATTTCTCATGAGCCACGCGTTCAGGAATCCTTCAGGGGAGAGCTCAGGAGTTGGACTTCTTTCTTATTTTAGGGCAACGGAAGCGAAGGGGCAGAAGGTTTTGGTCGACTGGACTTTATCTTATCTTCGAGCTTGGGTTTCCTTTTGCAATGTTTGTACTTATGAGGGTGTAAACTTGCTCCCTCTTGTCAGCGGAATGATACACATAAGCTGAAAACAGTGCTATCCAGGGTTCCAATACAGTCACTCACGGGCGAATCTGGCTGGCGAATCTCGGGCCGCCAGTGCACGGCATCCACTGCCATGATCAACTGAATCCTTGAACCCAAATGGAATTGTCAGGCTTTGCTATTTGCGCAAAAGAAGGTTTGCAGACCCAGGTCAGTCATTTCGGCAACCAATTTGGCGTCCCACATTACCCAACAGCGGGAAGACAGGGGACGGTTGGGGGGTGTCATAGCTGTTCTTTCCATGGTTTTGCTCAATATGTTGCTTGCAATATGTATGGTTTGATGGATTCGACTCGAGTCGACTTTCAAGCTGAGTTTGAGGCGTCAGCCGGCGTAGAATAGAGAACGCTGTCGTCATGGGGGCCTGGCTTGGAGAACAAGGGGCCAGATAGTAATAAGAGCTAGAAACTGACACTCTTGTGCAGTTCTTGAAGATTCCGTTGTTCGACTCATTGGGATGGAGGACTGGGTTGTTCCACGCTCGTGATTCACTCCAGGAAGAGGTTTTGTTCTGATTTGACCGGTGTAGGCGAGCCCAGAGTTCGAGGACCGGCAGCGAAGTATCTTGGCGAGCAAGAACGTAGTCAATGTCGTTTGGCTATCGCCACCGTACAGTTTTCCTCTTTTTTGTTAGAGCCGAGGGGTTGATGGATGGAGATATAACATGAGCTGGGATATTCTCACATTTCTCACCCTTTCCAAAACAGAACTGGTGGGCTTTTTTGTGGTGTTCTGAAAATTACTCAAGTGTTTTCTCCCTCCACTTGGAGGTGCCGAGGTGTCCACTTCGAGGTGTCCATTTGGAGGTACCGACTTCGATGTGCCCACTTCAGGGTGAGGTTTGTGCAAGTGTCCACCTGTGAAGTGGGTTTTGGACTGTTAGGTGAGGTGAGGTGAGGTGCGCGCTGGACTTGTGGTGCACCCTGGACTTTTGCCAGAAAACATGTCAGAAGACATGCCATACTTGATGTCTGCACAAATGTCAGAACGGATGTCAGAATATTTGTTTGCCAGATCACATAACGGACCACTGTTCAGAACAAATGGCAGAACAAATGGCAGAACGCATGACAGAACACATATCAGAACACGTACCAACGTATGTCAGAACAAAAGAACAAGTGTCAGAACACATGACAGAACAAATGTCAGAAAAAAAAATTGAACAGAAGTCGATCCATATGTCACAATGAGCGTCAGAACAATGCCAGGTGTGACGTGAGAGCACATGTCAGAAGTTCATGCCAGAACACATGCCAGACTTGACGGCAAGAAGAATGTCAGAACACATGCCAGGAAGGGTGTCAAGACACGTTCCAGAGCATGTCCAAGCCCTTATGCTAGATGATGTGTCATAACATATACCAGAGTTGATGCGAGAACAAATTTCGGAATATTGTGTCACTGCACATGCCAGGCAGCGTTTGTCAGGATAGCCGGTTAGTTTGTCAATATGTGCCCTGAGTTCTTTCAAATCGCATTTCAAGGCGGGGAGAACTCCAAGGAACTACATGTTTTGTGCATTTCACTCTCAAGAATTGCATAGTTGAGTGGATATGAATGACAAGCAACCATCCAAGTTGCTAATAATGGTAGACGCTTTGATTGCCAAACGATCCAGCGCAACACCAGACTAATGTCAACACCGGATTAATCAACTCCCCTTCAAGGTCAACAAGGTCAACAAGGTCTGGGATTGGAGAGATTGGAGACCACATCCCCTTAATGAAGATGATGACGTGATGATGGATGATGAGATGAGGACCTGGACCTGATGATGGTTGATTGGGATGATTAGGAAAAGAAAGAGGATTGCAGGATGAAAGAGATTGAAGACAAGATGGAGGCCAGAGGGTGGGCTTGATTAATAGGGGAGGGACCCTACTATTACAAAGAGGTAGGGCCTGTGTGAGCCTTTGTGAGCTTGAAAACCTTAAGATGTTGATAGAGTTTTAAGAAGGGAAAATGAAAGTATTCTGCTAGTGAGTTTTTTTTTTGCGTTGTAACAGGGAAGGATGGAAGTGCTATCTCTCAAAGAGATGGTATGAGACAAGGGTGGATCAGAAGATCAGTTTCACCATGGGCCAGAAGATACTGGATACTAGCCAAAAATAAAATAGCAAGAAACGATTATGGTAAGCGATATGTTTGTTTTTTTTGGGGGGCAGCTGGGCTTGATTAATAGGGGGTTCTGGCAAGGGAAAAAAATATCAGGGGGAGGTTGCAGGGTATTAATTATTTTAGTATTGGAGGCTCCAGCTGGGCTTGATTAACAAGGGGGGTTGCTTAATCTTGTGTGCGCACTAACGACAACAGCACGTTTAGGTCGGAGAAACTATTTAGTTTGTCAGTTGGTCTGAAGACTGCTCACTGTCTTGTGGAGTCGGGGCGTTTTGCCCATGGATTTATCAAATGCTATGACATGTCTTGAGCGTGCGCAGCCCACACGGGTGGTTTTGCACACGGCTGGTTTTGACAAGGAACCTCGAGGGCAATCCACCCGTAAGGACCTTCCTCACTAACCGGCGGTCTTCCAATTCCTTTGGGCAACGTGGTTCACATGTTGAGATAACTCCTCATGGTGACAAGATGGTCAGATTCCAGACCCACATCATTTAAGGTTGCCATGGGAAAAAGGAGGGAAGAACTGACAGATGGTCTATATAGACAGTCTCAATTCGCAAGTGTCTTGGGCGCAAATCATCAGCCTATAAAAGCAACAAAGCTGCCAATCAATTCGCTGGCCAATGTATTCACACCTAGCTTTTGTTAAATCCATGCGCACACAGCTGATGGCGTCGAGCCAACGGCTCCAAGCTGACAGTGAAACAAAGTAAGCAGGCTTGCTCTCATTGACTACAACACAGCTTACATCAATGAAATTAAAACATAAACCTGCTGGTAGAGGCAAAGGCAAGCAACAAGAACCGAGTCATTTCAAAGTTGAGGCTTCCCCTAGTCCAAAGTCCTCATAGCACTGGTGAAAAAGACCATCCATTTCCAAGAATTGTGTAACGTATTGTTTGCAAGTACTATCAAGTATGCACTTTGTGGAAGCACTGCAAGAAGACACCTGTATAACTTCCTCGTGTGTTCCAAGCAGGGTACGTATGTGAACACGCTTGGATTTGCATGCCTTCAAGGTGAGTTGGAGCAAATAGAGTTGAACAAAATGTGTTTGTTTGAATCCATACCCCGGCTGTGGTAGCAAAGGCTTTATCACCAGGACACAAAATCACTGAGTCAACGAGTCAACAGGAGCTTTGCACATTTGAAGTCAAACTCATTAGAGTTAATATGATTTAATGGCTCTGAACTTTTCAATGCAGAAACACATTTAGCTTGTGGCCCAAACCCAAACACCAATATATTGTATTTCTTAATCCCCGTACTTTGCTATCTCAATCCTTTAAGCTGTGAGGCGCTTATTGTCAATAGAATATGTTATGTTCTTTATAGTTTGACCTTGAACCC